AATTGTTCCCTTTAGTTTTTTTTTTTTTTTTTTTTTTTTTTTTTTTTTCCGTGTCCGGCAACGGATCGCAACCCTCAGTGTTGCCCCCGTACCGGACTGGGGACCGGCAACGGGATCGCAACCCTCAGCGTTGCTCCCGCGCCTCGCTCAGCCAGTGAGCGGGAACCGGCCCGTATGTGGGATCCGAACCCTTGGGCGGGAGCGCCGCCGCGCTTCCCAAGCGGCGCACTATCCAGTGCGCCACCGGGCCGGCCCTCCCTTTAGTTTTAACCATAAAATTCACAATAGGCAAAAGACTTCGATATAATATAAGAAAGCTCAAAAGACAAAAACAAGTAGAGAGAGTGTTACCAGTTTCTGGTGCATAAATATCTAGAATTCAATGCAATGTTACACTTGGATTCATTTGAATATAGTAAATAAATTAAAGGACTTCTGGGAAGTTCATTTGGGGGGATGATGGACTGATTGAACAAATATTTATTGAGTTCTTACTATGTGCCAGCACTGTGCAAGATATGATACAATGGTGAATAAAACAGAGTCTCTGCCCTCATGAAGCTTACAGTATAGTTGGAGAGGCCAAAAGCATACTAGTAAATAAACCATTAATAATAACAAATTATAAGAAGTACTTTGGAAAAAAACCCTGAGACACAGAAGGGCAAAGGAGACCTACTTTAGACAGAGTGGACAGGCAAAGCTTCTCTGGGGTGTATGAGACCTAAAGAACGAGTAGGATCCAGATATTCAAATAATTTAAGGGTCATGTAAAGTTTGAGATATCTGTGAGACATAAGTGGAGACGCCAACTAGGCAGCTGGATAAATGAGTGTGAAGATTAGAGGAGATGTCTGGGTTGGAGATATGTATTTTGGAATTGAATTGAGAATTGAAGAATTCTCCTTGGCAGGGAGCAAAGACAGAAAAAAAGAATATTCCAGTTTCGGAGTTATATCTACTACATATTTTTAATATAATTATAATTAAAGTACAGCTTTAAAATGAGCCAATCCAAAATATGGAATATTCATAAACCGTTGAGATGTCTGAGATTTCCAAATGGAGACATAAAGAAGGCTGTTGCATACAGACAGGAATCTGGAGTTCAGAGAAGTCTATCTTGGTGAAATAAACTTGGGAGTCTTAAGCATACTCACAGTATTGAAAACCTTAAGATTGAATGAAAGCTCTTGGGAAAGATTAAAAGGAGAGGAAGGAAAGGGGTTCTGAGGAATCTGTGAGGAGTCCCAAATAAGTGGTGGAGGCAGTAGGGGAAACTGAGTAAGAATGGCCAATGAGGGAGGATGACATCAGGAGACTGAGTGCCATGCAAGCTGAGAGGACAGTGTGCCAAGAAAGAGGTAATGTCTGCTGTGTTGAGGAGGTATCTAAAATGAGGACAGAAAAGTCACATTGGAATTGCAGTATGGAGATAGTTGGTGATCTTGTTGACAGCACTTTAGTGGAGTTGTAGGGATGGACAGCTAAACTGGAAAGGGAAAAGAGAATGGGAGGTAAGCGAGACAGCAGGTGAGATTTTTTTAGATGAGTAAAATTAGACCATGTTTTATGATGAAATAAATGACTACTTCTAGCAGGAGTAATCATTCAGTTCTAAGCAAATAACTATAGATTTCTTCAATAATGAGCTAAAAAGCCCAGACAAAATTGCATAGTCCCTCCTTATAAGAATTTAAGTCCATAAACTCAAACTCTCAGAAACTTATGCTCACAAATCCCAAATGCCTACAATATCTTATTTTTACAATCTTTTGAACATGGGAGATAATAACCACTTGTGGCCACTTCTTGGACTCTAGACAACCCAGCCACCCAGGCTTATCTGGTTGGAGGGATGGAGCAGCAGGTCACATGGCAGAAGCACTGTCATAGAGATGCTCTAGACAATTCAAACATTGGGCCTTGGACTCCATGTCCAACTGACGTAACTACCACTGCAAATGGCTATTGCAGCATATCAATAATTCACATATCAGATTAAAATCAATGTTAGTGATTTCTTGACTCATGCAAGACTGGTACAAGGATTTCATCTGTATTCAAAGCAGGCTAGAAAGCAGGAATCTTTAAACTGTAAAACAGCAGAGATGGCAAGAAGACGAGGGGATAACCGCCCCGTTTGGGGGAAGTTCCTAACAATTTCATGTGTTGAATGCTTTTATCATGATAGGTTGTTGAATTCTGTCAAATGCTTTTTCCACATCTATTTTTAGATGTGGGTTTTGTCCTTCTTTCAGTTAACATGATGTATTACATTAATTGATTTTCAGAAATGAAACCAACCGTATATTCTGGAGATAAATCCCACTTGGTCATGGCGTATAATCCTTTTTATATGCTGATGAATTCGATTTGCTATTATTTTGTTGAGGACCTTTGCTTCCATACTCCTAAGAGACACTGGTAGTTTTCTTGTGATGTATTTGTTTGGCTTTAGAATTAGGCACATACTAATCTTTTAGAATGAGTTTGAAAGTATTCCCTTCTCTTCTGTTTTTTGGGAGAGTTTATGAAGAATTAATATTAATTTTTCTCTAAATTTTGGTAGAATTTAGCAGTGAAGCCTTCTGGGTCTGGGCTTTTCTTTGTAGGTAGATTTTAAATTACCAATACAATCTCTTTACTTGTTACAGGTCTATTCAGATTGTCTATTTCTTCTTGAGTCAGTTTCAGTAGTTTGTCTTTCTAGCAATTTGTCCATTTCATCTAAGTTATCTAATTTGTTGACATGTAGTTGTTATATATAATTATATAACAATTTATAATTCTTATAATTGCTTTATTTCTATAAGGTAGCATTCCCTCTTTCCTTCCTGATTTGAGCAATTCAGGTCTTTGTCTTTTTTTCTCAGTCAGTCTGGTGAAAGGTTTGTCAATTTTGTTGATCTTTTCAAAGAACCATCTTTGGTTTCATTGATTTTCTCTATTGTTTTTCCACTCTCTGTTTCCTTAATTTCTGCTCTAATCTTCATTATTCCCTTCCTTCTGCTTGCTTTGCAGAAGATTGGTCCTTTTGACATGTCTCTCCTGGTATGGAACCTTTCTTTGCCCTGCTAGTAACCTGGGGCAAGGGCAATTGGGACCCTAGTATTCTCAGCCTCCTGCACCTGGCATAGAGCCTCTGTCCTACAAGTGGGGGCTGAGTGAAGGAAGGGAGCCCTCAACTTGTCCGCTGCGTTCACCAGGAATTTAACTCATTTAACCTGGATTTGGAGGAGATGAGAAATTTTGGCAGCTGTCCCTTTTGGTGCAACATGGTAACCAATAATTGGGAGCTGAAAGTAGAGAGAGACCTGTGTTCTTGGTCACAACCACTTAAAGTGAAGCCTCTGTCATGTTTAAATAAAACACATTGAAAGCATCTCAGATTCTGCTCCCCAAAGCCTGTGGCACAGGAAGCCGTGGGACGGTGGTCGCCGGGCCGGAGCAGGGCGTCCCTTCCCCTCCCTCACGGTACTTACGAAGGAGTCGCTCACGACTCTGCTCCCCAAAGCCTGTGGCACAGGAAGCCGTGGGACGGTGGTCGCTGGGCCGGAGCAGGGCGTCCCTTCCCCTCCCTCACGGTACTTACGAAGGAGTCGCTCACGACTATCACCACGTTAGGTGCTCCGGCTGCTCCCCGCCTCTGCCCAGGTGCCCCGGGGGCCGGTGCCGCCAGCGCCGAGGCTGCGACCACCGACACCCACAGCAGCAGCATCGTGGGCAGCGGTTCCGCCTAGTAAGATAGTCGGCTGCTGGGTCCGCCTTTTCCCTCTGAAATTCTCTCCAGGGGAAAGGAGGGTGGGGACACTGACCAACTTCTCCAAGAACTGGCAGTTTGGTTTCCATATAGCAGCAGAGCTTCACCCACAGAACTACAACTCCCATCAGGCTCAGAGAGAGCACACGCGCAAAGGAGGAATCCCTGTATTAACCCACGTCAAGACCTTTTAATCAAATACCGAGCGAACTAACTCCCCGCCTCCGCCACTTCCACTCACGTGAGCAATGCCTGGGAAATGCGCATGCGCCCCCATTCCAGACTTGGCGTTTGTGGAAGAGCAGTGCATGTCCCAGGTAGGTTCGGGGCTCTTTCGCTTTTGCAGAAGTTGGAGCCTATAGGCGGTTGAAATGGAACTTAGAGTAAGAATCGGTAGCCAGGGCGGCTCGTTTTGCGCTGAGCAAACGTGGCTGAGTGTTGGGCAAGAGCGTGAACTGGGCGATGATGAGCTGGCAGTGCGTCTGTCACAAGTTGGATGGGGCGGTTCCCTGGAGGGCCGCTGGCTGGGCCGCCTTTGGTGCAATATGTATACCGTGGGGGCCCTCGAATACCTTCCCTAAGGAAATCTCTAGCGTGTCTCGTCTCATTGCCTCTCTTTGTCCGTGTGGTAAGGATTTATTGTCCTCCTGTGGGGTGAGGAACGGGGCCTAAGGAGTTTCAGGTTCTAGGCAGGGAAAACTTAGGTGTTCCTTGCCTTCAGAGAACGAAGGAGAATAACGGAGCAGGATCTCAGAGGAGGAAATGTGGAGCTGTGTGACGTGTTCAGTTAATTGACGTAGGTTCGGAATACCATTGTTTTGCTGCAAATAATCACTGGTCGCCTTTGACTGTTGAACTCCTTCGGAGACTTCTGGAGGAAGCTGATTTGTGTATCAGAGCCAGACTCCTGATTTCATTATCATAGTTTCAGGTATATAATTTGCGCAACACCCTAGTCGTTTTAATATTTTGACAGGAAAAGGAGGACTTGTGCCACTTAACATAAAATCAACTCTTAATACTAATATCTGGCAGTGTTTTTGCATAAAATAATTATAATAAAGGGCAGAACTTATTTATTTAATGCCCACATGGCACTTACTACGTGCTGGACATTATACTAAGCATTTATTGAGCACATACTGTGTGCCAGCTACTTTTACATGGACTATTTTCCATAATGCTCATTTTCACTATTTTGCAGATAGGAAAATAGGCTTTGAAGATTAAATGACCCGGGCCAGCCCGGTGGCGCACTGCTATAGTGCGCCGCTTGGGAAGCGCGGTGGCGCTCCCGCCGAGGGTTCGGATCCCACATACAGACCGGTTCCCGCTCACTGGCTGAGCGAGGCGCGGGGGCGGCCCCGAGGGTTGCGATCCCGTTGCCGGTCCCGGTCCGGTGCGGGGGCGACACTGAGGGTTGCGATCCGTTGCCGGACACGGAAAAAGACAAAAAAAAAAAAAATGACTGGCCCAAGGTTATACAGGGAGCCAGTCTGAACAAGGCTGGAAATTGAGCAGTCTGTGCTCTAACTCACTAAATACTGTCTCCAGTTAATTATACAATTTCATGACAATCTATTGATCTTAATCTCTTGTTAGTTTGAAGCAGAATTGTTAATCAAGCAGCATGATAAAGATCTGTGGGGGACATGCAAAAACGTAGTTTCCGTCCACAAGGACATTGCATTCTAGGGAAACAAAACCTAACGTACATGAAGTAATAGTACAGCATGGAAAGTAATCAGGCTCTCTCATAAACAGGCTATCTTTCCAAAATTTGTTTTGAGTTAATTTGGAATGTAGAGCATATTTAATTATAGAAACAATACTGACTGACATTTAGATTCATTAAAAATTACATTTAACTTTATTTGTGGTATACTCCGGATTCCGTGAACTGTATTTACTCTCTATGGCCTTGTTTCTACAAGAGCTGTATTCTGATGATAGGATAAAAGAAACACATCTTTTTCTTCCGTTTTCTTCCCTTGGCACCATCAGTGGGAGCAGGTGCTGCAGTGGGTTAGAGCAAGATAGATATTTTAGGGCCGCAGTGACATAGTGCTGGAAGAATCTAAGAGGCTTTTTAGTCTTATGTCCCATCTGACATTCAGTTTGTCCTACAGTGTTCCTGTGCAGCAAATTGTCCAGTCTGTGCTTTTTCATCTCCAGTGATGAAACACTGGATACACTTTCTTTGAGCAGACCATTCCACGTTTGTATAAGTTGAATTAACAGTTCTTATTTTGAGCTGAAGTCAGTCTTCCTCTACTTTTAACCATTCATTAGTCCAGTTTCTTTTCACATCTATGTAGATTCTTCCTTTCAACAGTATTTCCCCCCACTCCTCTGCCAATTTTTTCCTCATAGTCTTTCCCCAGTTTCTTTAACTAGTTCTCATATAATTTCAGGTTTCTTCATTGTTTTGATCTCTCTTTTCTGAACATATAACATTTTTGCTAATCAGTAACTTACCCTATCAGAAAAGGTACTTTTGTGTGTGCACGTGTGTGTGTGTGTTTGTGTTACAGGGAGGGTAGAGGCTCCGTATTGGGCTGCTATATCAAAATACCACAGAATGGGTGGCTTAAACAACAGAAATCTATTTTCTCGTAATTCTGGAGGCTAGAAATCCAGTACCAAGGTGTTGACAGGTTTGATTTCTTCTGAGGCCTCTTTCCTTGGCTTGCAAATGGCCACCTTCTCACGGTGTCCTCACAAGGTCATCTCTGCACATGCTACCTTGGTGTCTCTGTCTGAATTTCTTTTAAGGATGACAGATTGTATTAGGGCCTACCAATATAAACTCATTTAACCTTCATTACCTCTGTAAAAGCCCTATCTCCAAATACTGTTATATTCTAAGGTACTGGGGGTTAGGGCTTCAACATATGAATTTTGGGGGGGACACAAGCCCGTAAGAACTCCATGACATACCTGTATGTTTAAGTCATTAACTAAAGATTTCTAAGTTATACCAAGGTCAAGGGTGGGGATCACCATACTGGTGAGCCTCAAAGACAAAACAAAACAAAACAAGATTTCTAAGTTAGGGATTGCTTGCTGTAGTGAAATAGTGTGAGGTTCAGAAAGATCTTCAAAGATCTTCAATTGAAGAGTCTTGGTCTAGGTTTTGATTCTCTGTAGTTCTTATAATGTCCAAAATACCAGCAGCACTGTATTCTGCCTTGGAAAAAAGGAAGCTAAGTGTGCAGTTTGTGACTGTGTGGAATAAGTTCAGTATTGTCTTCACATCCGCATTGTACCGAACACTGTAGGGAATAAAGAAAGAACTGAGAACAGTCTCTGCTTTCAAGGAGACTCCAGTCTAGTTTTGGGAGACACACAGACACACATACCTGGAAGCTTAATAACAATATAAAATGTATCAAAAATTATAGTTAATTGTTAAATAAAAACTGAAAACTGTATTATCCTAAATTATGCTTTAGAGAATGCTAGCATGCTTCAAAATATTAGCTGGTTTTCACTGAAATAAATGTTCCATAATCAGAAGTTTCAGGATTGCTGGGTTAAACTATCTTTGGTTCTTTAGGACTTCTCAGAGGCTTTAAAATACTAATATACATTGTTACTTTGAAAAAAGAGAGATAGATGGGTATAGTAAACAGTATTCACAAACTTACTAGGCCATTCATTAACACCTGTAAGCATGCTAATGTTCCTTGGAATACATTTTTGGAAATGCTGGTATAGATAATAAATGTACAAGTTTAGCGTGAGATTGGTCTGGAAAGGCTATATGCTTGACTGTGGAAGTTGGCCTTGAATTATGTGTATCATGGGAGTGGACGGAAGTGAGAGTGGATAGGCTGAATAGGAGAAGCAAAGATGTACAGGAAGAAAACTCGGGGGTGTGATCAAAAAAAGTAGTGTGAGCAAGTATCAAAACACTAACATGCCTTTTGGTGGTAGGTTTTGGAAGCTGGGAGTTCATCAGCCATTAATTGAGTATATATTACTCAGTAGGTATTGGCTGTGCTTGTATAAGGAGCTCCAAAGATATAAGACTTGCATTTAGGGATTTATCAAATTGGGAGTCGGGACACATCTATATAGAACAATAAAAACCGTCCGTTTAGTTTCAGTTGAGTAGGTCAGCTAATAAGTTGTTCAGTGGAGAGAGAGATCTTTGTGGGCTTTACTCTAGTATTTGTGTAGTAACTAATTTGAAGAGGATGTTCATGTCTGACGATAGCTGTCTTTTGAGGAATACAAGCAAGAAGGTTACTTCTTGAGACAGCAAAGAAAAAGTTTGCAGAGGAGGTTGGGGATTTTTGAATGTGTAGAGAAAATTTATGATAACCACTGGGTTGTTATCACATAATTGTTTTAGGAATGACAAGAAAGTAGTGAAGTTGATTGAGAGGTAGCAGTAGATAAGAACAGAACTAATACACGTTGTGTTCAGGCACTCCATCTATGTACGTACAGGTTAGTGATGTAATCCTAACTTTACCAATGTGGAATAAGCTTGGAGTCGTGAAGTAAGGTGCCCAAGGTCTAATGGGGTTTGGACTTAGATCCATTTGATTTCCTAAGCTTACTCTTAACCAGGTTAAGTTAAGAATGGTGGGTGGAGGGCCGACCCTGTGGCGCACTTGGGAGAGTGCGGCGCTTGAGAGCGCAGTGACACTCCCGCCGCGGGTTCGGATCCTATATAGGAATGGCCGGTGCGCTCACTGGCTGAGCACGGTGCGGGCGACACCACACCAAGGGTTGCGATCCCCTTACCCATCACGAAAAAAGACTCTTTCCCCAGTTTCTTTAACTAGTTCTCATATAATTTCAGGTTTCTTCATTGTTTTGATCTCTCTTTTCTGAACATATCAAGGGGGGCGACACCACACCAAGGGTTGCGATCCCCTTACCCATCACGAAAAAAAAAAAAAAAAAAAAAAAAAAAAAAAATAGAATGGTGGGTGGAGATTGCATAGTGAAGGGGCTGGCAGAATATGGGGTATTTTGTAAGAATAGAGTTGAAGTGACTTAGTAATTAAAATCAGGTGGGTGGGGAGGGCAATCAAATATTGCTAGATGGGGGCTAAAGGAATCAGTGAAATGGATAGTCAGATTTTTACTTTTATTTTATGTTTTTCTTTGTTAACATTTATTTTACTTTCCTAAACATTTTTTGGATTACCATACTTTTCTTATCAGTACGACCCTATACTATTGAACTGACCATTCTTAGGTGGGTCTTTAATGCATGGTCTGATCTAGTAAACTTACCTCCCATTCCTGTTCATCCCTACCTGACTCACTTAAACATTGTTTACTTCTTAGTTCTGAA